GTGACATAAGCTTGAAGGAGGTGGCAGAGGCTTGGTAGATGGGGGGGCAGCGGGGGCCGCTGACCGTGACAATTTAATGTCAGATGGATCTCGGTTGTTGGGAGCTTTGTATGTTCAAAGTAAGATTTTAAATTTTGGATCAAATGGCGACTATAGAAGAGACAAATCAGGCTCAGTTCTCTTGTAAAAACCACAGATTTGCCATACTGCATGACTTTATATGGCAAAATTCGAGCATCTGGCGATATGAAGGTCCTCTCATCTCCTCCCTCTGCCTTTAGGCTGGCTTATCCATCTGTCAGCGCCTACAGAAAGACCCTGCGCCCCCCCCAACTGAGACAGAATGGATAAATCCTGTCAGATCCCAGGCTGTCCTGATGTCACATAGGAGTGTCAGCTTGTATAGATCTGTACCTGTGCAGTGTACTCCCAGCAGCTCCGAAACAGAGTCCTGTCTGATGAAGGGGAGAAGCGGGGGGCCGGCGCGTGATGGAGGGTCAACCTTTGGAGTTGTTGATTTGCTGCTGAATGACAAATGGACAGCGGAGTCTCAGTGCAAACACAAAGGGGGGGCAGAGTAGCCTGTTCATATGTAACATCACTCTGAAACAAAGGTCTCCTTGTCACATAGACTACAGTATATTTCCACGGATAATGCCACGGCGTTGAGCACATGTGAGAGCACGCTCGTGCGCCCTCGCGGGCCCGCTCCGCCTCGGGCTGGCAGAGGCGATAAATCAAACAAATAGCATCACACCCTGACGAAGGAAGCCCTCCAACAGATAAAATGTTCTCCCACACAACAAAGCCACACTCGCTGCGTAATTAATTGCAACAAATTACCCCTTCCTCTCCCTGTCGGGCCCCCGCCTCGCCTCTTTTACCGCACCGACAGGCGCGCGGCGCGCTCCCGAGCGCGGCGTGTGTGTGCGAGGCCACTCGGCCTGCACCCTTCATAAGTGCTTTAATGTGGCTTATTGCAGTGTGCTCTCCCCTTAGCCGTGGAAATATTCGCTTGACGGATGTGCTTTGTCGCAGGCGCTCCCCGGTGGTGGGGGGGTGCTGTCAGGTTGGAGATGATAACATTAACAGGGAGGCAAGGCGATGACAAATGCCTGTTATCAGCGAACGAGGCCGGTGACAAATCGAACGGCAGCGCCCAGGCAGCCCCGGCGCGGCGTAATAAAAAAGAAGATGGATGGCATATCCAGGCAGGGCCCGCGTTAATGCGATTTCCACTGCTCTGCCTGACTCCCAATTAAGGCTGGGGGGGAGAAGGTTGTGGTGGCGAGGGGAGGGGACGGGAAGAGGAGGAAAGAAGTGGAGACGAGGAGAAGAAAAGGTGGAAATGGGGTAGAACTGGAGAATAAATGAGGTAGATGCGCGGGTGTAACAAGAGGATAAATGCCAGCGAGGAGGAGGCGAGTGACAGCGACAGAGAGGAGGAACACAACATGCAGCTTTAATTGGCTGCAGCCACCCACCACCTCCTTCTCCTCTTCCTCTTCCTCCTCTTGTCTTTCACTCACACCTCAGTCACCTTGGCAGAGGGTCGCCGGGTGTCTGCGTCCTGGTGGAACGCCATTAGAGCTTTTACAGGAAGTGATGCTGCATTTAAACACCTAGCATTCCATGCTAGCTAGCTTGTCACCTGCTGCCGGAGTATATGTCAAGGATGACTCTCAGCTACTACCACACCAAATTTTAGTTTAAGATCTATAAAACTGGCGGAGTTATTGAAACTTTTTGTGCTTTATAAATTTTAAATGCACCGCCAATGAATGTTCCGTTAAGTTTCATTAAAATCCAGCCGGTGGTTATTGAGATATTTTGCTAACAGATTTGACAGCGCCAGCTCATGGTAAAGTCTTAAACGCCGATCTCACCTGATCAGTCCGAGCTCAGCGTGTGCGTTGGCCATGACTCTCGGCTACTACCACACCAAGTTTGAGCTCAACTGGCTGAGTCATTTTTGTGCTTGCTAAGCTCGCCTAGCTCTGGCGGCCATCTTGAACGAGACGGATTCCAGAAGGTAATCGAGCGTGAATGTGCATCTAACGAGAGTTTGATTAAAATCTGTATACTGGATTATGAGATATTATGCTAACTGTTACAGACCTTCGCCATCACCGGCGGACGGTAACGCGTCAAAAACTTTGGGTTGCCAGAACTTTAGTCATTTTTGTCAGCTTACGTTTACAAAAAAAAATATGAAGATGAGCAAAACTCAGCCCAGGA